AAACAAAAAAAAAAAAATAAGAAGAAGGCACTCAACAAGTGATTGATAATAAGAAGAAAAAATAATAAGAAAAAATAACCAAGCAGATCATTGATTATTTTTTAAGAGTATCCTAACACATGTCTGATTACTGGAAGCGTGAAAACAGTATCACAGAGAAAAGATCCAGACTCGGATAACAGAGACATAGGCTGAACTGTGCATTCAAAACACTTACTAGCTGTGCGGTATTACGAAGCTCATGAAATTGTGCTGTTTAAGTTTCCCTGTGTAGACTAGTCACTTGCGTATTTAATACAATGAACGAACACAGTGAATACATGGTTGGTATGGTTGTTAGTAATCTAAGAACTAATGGCCGGTGGCAGTAGTGAAATAGTATTAATAGTAGAAGCATTATTAGGTGTGGCCTAATACATATTTGGTAAAGAAATGCTAAGTTTCTTGTACCAAAATGTCTTTAGGGCCTTTGTATGGATACTGCTAAAAACCAAGTACCACACTATTTTCTCTATGCTAAGGCTACAGCATACAAGAACCCCTGTCTCAAGGACTAGCAGATTGAGAGGAGGTATAGCTCTTACTAATATCAAGACACAAGTTCCTCAGAAATGACACACATGATTCATGTAGTATATGCAGCAATGCAAGTCCAATGTAAATACATAACTAAAATGCAAGGTAAATTTTTTTTAAAGGGAAGATAATGTTAAAAATAAAACTAAGCAGACAGCAAGAGTCATTAAAATAAGAAAGAACTCACACCAATAGTAATTTTCTACTCCATGGGGAAACATGAATTAAGAATAAGGAAGTATTTCATCAAATTGCTGATATATTGGAAAGAGGAAAGGAACCACACGTGCAAGTAATGTCTCCAGCTTCACTTTCCAACACCAAGAACAAGAGCATTTAGTTCTGGGGCTGACAAACTACAGCCCATAGGACAAATCTGGCCTGCTACCTATTTTTGTAAATAAAGTTTTCTTTTCAACAGTAGAGTTAAATATGCACTACAAAGACCATCTGACCTACAAACCTAAAATATTTACTATCAAGCTCTTTACGAAAAATTTTTTGTGGATTTAGTTTGTTTAGTACTCAGTATGAGCTGACATAGTTCAAATGTTTAAACCAAGAATTAAAAGGTTAAGCTTTCTGCATGTGATAATGCACTGGTTTAAAAGACATCCTAGGCACATCATGTGACAGAGTCTATACTAATACTGCATGCTTTTGAGTCAGGTTTGAGTTTAAATCTGTTCATATCTGAGAAGACCAAGGCTAGGTATCTAGGTCCGTTTCCTCACTTCTGTATAGTGGGCATAATACCTACACCACCTTCCAGTTTTATGTATAGCGCCCAAAACCATTTAACAGTAGCACGTAATAAGTACTCAGAAAATGTTAGCTTTTTCTATCCATACACTAAACTGGAACTTTCATCTACCCCTTATAATTCTGCATTTACCCTCAGCCTTTAAAGCCAGGCAATCTGTCACTAGAAACACTGTTGTGCAATGTACCCCATTCCCTTAACTTTCCAATATGAACTTACCAATCTGCAAAGTCCCTACAACTAAAGTAATGTCCGTATAACCTGAGACAATGAGTTCCACAACTACAGTTCTTACTTTCTAAAATTTCAGGACATACACACACACGTATGTACTTACACAGACACACAGTTTTGCCTTAAAACTTGTTGCTCGAACACAAAGATAGCACTTCTTAGTTCTAGAACAACAACTATATTATCCTACCCCATCCAAGTATTTTTAAATTTTTATAATCATTCCCAAATCTTTGTCTTTCCAAATGAAAGCATAGTCAGTCTTCATTTCTGAGTCCATAAAGCCAATTTTAATCTTGTCAGTTAAAAAGTGAAAAAAGTCCATGTAAACTACAGACTCTGGATGATAATAATGTATCAATGTAGGTTCATCAATTGTAAAAAAAGGTGACTGCAGTGGGGATGCTGAGAATGGGGAAGGCTATGCATGTGTGGGGTTGAGGATACAGAGAAAATCTCTGCTCTTTCCCCCGTCTTTTTTTAAACTGCTCTAAAAAAAATAATAATAAAGCCTAATTAAAAAAAAAAAAACAACAAATAGAGGATTATTAAAAAATAAATAAAAATAAAATTTTGGCAACAAAGTGGCCACACATAATTTTTGCCGGGACGGTCTTGATTTAGGGCTGTCGTCACAGGGTAATAATTAATAGCACCCCCATTCACTCTCAAAAGTGTTCTGGGTTGCATGATAAATTATGTAATCACTCTACTTCTATGCCTCAACTTTCCCCATCTAAGAAATAAATCAGTACTTCAAAATCCAAACTCCATAAATAACTAGAGGAAGGGAGTATGCACTATCTCCTATCTCCAAAGATGTAAAAATGTGCCACCCAAAGTGCTAATACAAGTCTTTTCATTCTTACGGCCTGGTGCTTAAGATCCTCTTCCCCTCCTCCCCTCCTCGTTTTCTAGGACTAGATGGTAACATTTTTTAAATCCCATACATACAACAACCAAAACATATAATTGGGAAATACACATCTATACTCATGAGCATACTGTAGTTTAAGAATGTATATACAAATGTTCTTTTTAAGAATTTGGCAAATTTTTTAAAATAAAACACTTTATGTGAAAAAGTAAGATATTCAACATATACATGGGGGAAAGTGTGAAAAATGTACCAAAATATTAATCGTGGTGATATTTCAGTGGCAATATGAGGTGAATACATTGTGTCTCTATGTCTCTGTGTTCTCCAGCTTTACTTAAAATGAATCTGTACTGTGTTTATAATGAAAGATTCTCATATGGAGCCAAAAAACAAGATGTTCATACTAAAGCCGAAGTGAATATACAGGGGATCCACCCAAATTTTAATAAATCCAAAACTGCTATACTATCTAAGTAAAGCCTAAATAACATGAGGTAGTCAAGAAAGGCATAGAACACCCGGGACACTTCTAGGATAAAGGGACTGTCCTTTGCTTGTGCAAAGCACTTCTAATGGCATCAGTGGCAAGAGATTTCTAGAGTTCAAGGTGGTGTTAGAGTAATGGTTCTTACCCAGGTTTAAGCTTGAAGAGGATCCATGTGAAGAGAGGGAAGGAGGTGGTGTCTGTGAATGTCCTGGTCCCTGACTAGGGAGAGGCATGCCCACGGGTCCAGGAGAGGAGGAAAAGCTAAGGCCGTTATAAAAACTGTGTCCAATGGGGGTCAAGCTGCTCGATGTCCTCTTATAAAGGTCACTGCTGCCAGTCAGGGAGTCACGGCGGGAGCCACTGCCAGTGTTGGAGTTTGCAACTAAAATGGAATTAAAACAATGCAGATAAGAACAGGCCTGTTCTTCGAAGAACAAGCCCAGTGACCTGTTCCTAACACTTTGATCCAGACTCCTTACCACCGCAAAGTTGTAAGCAGAGACAGCCTAACTGTTCATGCGGCAGGTAAGGTAATAAAGAGGACATGGCTCAGGTTAGCATGAAACTTTTGTTCAAACCATCACACATATGCTAAATTAACCTTCCTTTTTGTGTCATATTATTATGGGGTGGGGGTGGGTTAAAAGCTCTGACGGCCACATTAGCTATGGAAAAAGTGAAAGAAAATGGGCTAAAAAGAATGCCTTTCATCAACCCCAAGGTTCTAACAGAAAAATGGAGTACGGAAAACAAATTTGTAAACTGAGTATTGCCCCGTACATGAGACTTATATATGAAAGCCTATTTTCTCAATGGGTCTGTTCAATCAAGAGTTATTACTAGCCCCCAATTTTAACTTAAGATACTTTCTCTTAAACCTGTCCTTCTGTTCTGAGATCACACTGTTTTACAAACACTGCAATTATCCCATTTGTTTACCTTATCTTACTACTTTCCTGTTTTTTTCTTCCACTGAAACATTAAAAACATGTTGGTCTAATTTCCTTCCTCCCACTTTTCCGTAATATCCACCTTAATTCTTCTCAAAAGACTGAAGCAAACTCATGACTCTTTAAGGCCTACAGATTGTGGCGTCTACTACCCTGCGATCTTTGTAAGTCGTCCTCCCTGTTTTTAACATCCACATTTCTCTGCTTCCTCCATGTTCTTCCCAATGCCTGCAAAAATCTCCCCTAGTTTTTTAATCCCTGAAACAAATTGACTATAAGATATAAATAAGTAGCAACACAAGCGTAAACCTGAAAACAGGCCCCAACTGTAAATCTTGGTTTTAATTAGTCCATCATCTCAAAGATGTGTGGGACGGGTGGATTCTCACGGGGCTTGATCCAGGTCTGCCTGTGGTATCTGTGCAGGGGTCCATGCACTGTCAAGCGTTCCATAAATATTGTAAAAATAATTAAAATTCAGTTTTATGAGCACATCAATCTGATTTCTACCTGCTGTTCCAAACCCTCCGAGGGCAGATCCCAGGGTGGCGCCAAGAGAACTGCTACTTCCAAATCCCAAGGATGTGTTGGCAGGCTGCGCAGAGCCCTGGGAGAAGAGGGAGCTGCTCTGGGAATTGCTGCTCAGAGAGTTGTTGCCGTAGAAAGAGCTGGACGCCAGGTTGTTATTGGGCTGCTGCTGGGGCTGGGGCTGAGGCTGCTGGGTTCCTAAAGGGCGAAATGGTCCATTTGTTGTTCCAGCAAGCCCACCAGCTGCTCCGTTTGCTGAAGCTGCGGCTGCTGCAACAGCTACAAAGAAGAAAGCAAACCATTTGGCTACAAAAGGGAGTGGCCACATTTCCTAACTACGTTGTTACTCTTTTTTGAAAACCTTTTAATTCTGCCACATCTTTTCGAAGTAGACATAACCCTTGTAGAGAATCATACAAATGTCTTTGATCCTTTCATTTGAAGCTTTTATTTTCTATTTCTACATTTAACTTGAGGTCAAAATATGACTGGAGCGACCATTTTAAAAACAACTACTTCCCAAAATCTCAAGTTCCACAAATACCTATGTTGAAGACATTTTTCCAGAACCAGTGTTAACCATATACTAAAGTCCTTCAAATTCCTAAGATATTTAAGCATGTTGCTCTCTTCTAGAACTTCCCACTATAGTTGCTAATTAAATACAAACAGCTTAAAACAAATACCTATTACCCCAACCAAAATTAATTTTTCTGCCACATCTTACTACTCTCCTTCCACCTCCTCCATCCCTGCCCCGCCCCCCGCAAATTCATCAAAAAAAGGCAACCACGACAACAAAAAAAACCTACATTATTTTAAAATAATGACATGGATTTCTATTAAATTAGCCTTGGACTTCTGCCAACAGTACTATTTTATGTGAGTAATCGAACTTCTTGTATTTGCAGTGGAATGGGCCCTTGCTGCTAACCAGCTGGTACATGCCATCAACAGAATCAGAATCTATCAAGGTCACTTGTTGCTTCTGATTCTCTTTGAAACGTTACAGGGTAGAAGTGCTGTAGTGAGAACTGTCAAATAAAGTGCATTTCAACACATTTTAAGAATATCATTTATCACCCCTTTTAGATATCTGACATGAGCCCACCAAGATGTAAACTCACCTGCTTGTGCGGCTGAGGAACTAATGATGACTGGGGCAGGAGCTACAAGTCGTACAGGAGCTCCGAGTCCATTTCTTGCTCCTGTATTCACCACAAGGGCACCGGTCTGGTCATAGTAAGCAGCGGGAGCCAAGACCGGATAACCTGGGAATATCAAGCCGACATATTATAAGTATATATAAAACTAACACCTGTCTCCTGATACCAGCATATTGTAAACAGTCACCAACTCAGCTCTGGGGACAGACAGACCGAGATGTATATGCTGATATATGACTAAATCTCTGGTTATCCATTTGTTCTCCTGTAAAATGAGGATAATAAAACCTGCCTCTTGTACAGTGCTTGTGAAGATTAAACTAAAAGATGAATGTGAAAGATCCAGTGTGATATTTGGCACAATAAGGGATAGTGTTATTTATCATTCACTAGGTGTTAGAAAGGGAATTTGGCATGATAGAGAATACTATACTTTTCAAAGTGCTAACCAAGGTTATCACCAGCAATCACGCACTGACAATTTTTTAATGTTTTCTTGTCCACACAAATAACAGAGGGTACAAATGATTACAACAATCACAGTACTTTCATATCACATAATAATCTAAGCACAAATATGCTGCAAGTTAACATGAAAAACCTAGACAGGCTTTAATTGATAGAATCTTTTAATACTATATGAAATAGTACTTTCAAATCCTATTGAGCCATACAAAAAAATTATAGGTGACTTCTTAATTAAACATAAATGCTTAGGAACTAACAAAACAAATGCTGCAAGTTAAATTTACTCACTGAACTCATAAATGAATCAGTTAATTTGGCAATGCTTCATGGTCAGTAATGATCCATAAACTCACGCTGAGGTCTTATAAGGACCTATTTCAAAGGAAGAACCTCAAACTACATCCAGTCTATGCAAAGAATAGGACCAGGTGACAGTAAGCCAAATATAACATATATTCAAGATATATATATCAGTCATAGGTAGGCAGTTACATGGCACCTCTACAACTGGTTTAGAGGAAATCCTAAGAATGTAAAGGATGATCCTATCAAGGAATACCAGGAATTTCTTCCTAATAATGCTGTTCAAAAACATCTGCTAAAGTCTAAAGCCCTACAGTAATGATAAAGTGGTAAGGCCACTCCTTCTACACCTAATAGTGAGGAAAAAAATAGATCATCACCAACGAAAACAGCATATTCGAAGCAATGTATGCAGATTTGCACATCTCCACCAAGATTAAGACTGGCTCAGAACAATTAGGTGCTCTCATCAATGAACTGTGATCTAAGTGAGGGCAAGTGTATGTCATCCTCGCCAGTCCCCAAATCATAAGCCTAAAAGCACTGCCCAATCTTCTTTGAATCTCTCCCAACAAGCAGACTTTTCTTTTCTCTCAAATTATTAGGAACAACAGTGAAGTCTCACCTGGCATGCCTGCAGCCAGTCCTTGTCCAAAAGCAAGAGCAGAATTCACTGCTGCAGCTGCCACTAATGGATCTGTTTGCTGTCCCTGCTGGTTCTGATTTGGGGTCAAAGGACGCTGGCTGGCTCCTCCACGGAGAACCTGGGAGACAAAAATAAATCAACTACTTCCCACTCATTGGATATATCTAAGATCCACCATGTGCTTAACTTGAGTCAACTTTTAAAAACTGACCGTTGTAAAACATTTTTCATATAATGGTTTTATATGACATGGCTAGGATAAAAACTTAATTAACAACACTTTATTCTACCATTCTTAGTTTAAACATATTACCTTTATACAGGAGCCAAAAGCATATATTAGTGATGATTCATTCATTAATCAAATACAAAAGATGCCTGCAGGTACTACAGGTAAAGCAATGAATGAGACAAGCAAAGCCCCGGCCCTTTTAGAGCTTTTATTCTAATGAATGAGACAGACAATAAGTAGTAACTCTATAACATCAGTGCTCTGACAAAGTAGGTGAAGAAGAGAGTATGATGGGTGGGGGAGAGGGTTTAGATAGAAGGAACAGGGATAATTTACTTAATAATTAAGTTAAAATACCTGTGACCAAAAAGAGATCCACAAAAGAAGCTATATTTTCCTTTTGGAATATGAGAGCATTTTCTCTACCCTAGAACACTATTCCCATTCATCAGGGCCCAAGTGAGCTCACCAGATTTGATTTAGGAAGATTCTGACCTAACTGTTTCTATTTCTTCTCTCATAAATTCCACAAACATAGAGCAATCTAAATGGAGATGAATATTAGTCAAGAACACTGACATTTCAGTGCAGAATACCAATTCTGCCACTGTGATAAAGGATTGACATTTTTATAAATGAAACACAGGTATTAAGTTGCTGATAATCATTCTTATTCTGAATATATGAATAATCTATTCCACAAAATCTATATACCATAGCAAGTAAAAATGTTAAACCCACAGACCAAGGTTAAAATTACCAAAGTTTATAAACAATGTATTTTGCAATGTTTTCAAAAGCAAAGTTCTCATGAGATTACTTTCACTAACATTCTGCTATTTATAAAAGTTAGACATATTGTTCTCGGTACTTTTGGTAAAAAATGTAAGAGAAACACCACCAGCAATCAATTAAATGTTTATTAAATGAGCATAAGGTGAACAACACTGTCCACATTGGCAAGAAGAGATGTGCAATTTGCCCAAAGTCTCTTATTTCTTTATTTGTAAAAATAGTTCATCTTGCAGATTTGTTGGGAGTATGGGAATTAATGTCTGCAAGGCACAAGCAAGTATCCAGGAGCTAATCAATAACCAATAGCTAATTACTGTCAAATTTTAGGCAGTTTATTTCAGTTTGTGACTCAAAGACTCTAACCAACTTTACAAGAGAGGGCGAACTTCAATCTATATAGAAGAGGTTATACAGGGGAGTACTTGGGCTAAGACTTAGAAGATGCCTATCTGCAAGCAAGAATAATTTATCCAGCAAAGCTATCATTTAGAGTTGAAAGACAGATAAAGAGCTTCTCAGACAAAAATAAGCTAAAGGAATTTATCACCACCAAGCCAGTATTACAGGAAATGTTGGAGAGACTTCTTTAGAAAGAAAAAAACATGTATCAAAAACAGGAATAAAGAATGGTAACAATTACATTCCTATCAATAAGTACCTTAAACGGAAAAGAATTAAGTGCTCCAACCAAAAGATAGAGTGGCTGAAAGGATAAGAAAACAAGATTCCTACATATGAAAAGGAAGGAGATGGAAAAAGATATTGCTTTGATGGACCTAGAAGGTATTTAAGTCAGACAGAGAAAGATAAACACTATATGATTTCACTTATATGCGGAATCTAAGGAATAAAAAGAACAAACTAATCAAAAACAAATTCACAAATACAATGGATAATTTGGTGATGGACAGAGGGGAGGGGAGCCTGGGGGGCTGGGAGAATGAGGTGAAGGGTTAAAGAAGTACAAATCAGTAGCTGATGGATGGTCACAGGGGTGGGGAGCACGGCATAGGGAATGCAGTTAGCATTAATACGTTGGCTAGGTGGAGGGTCAGGGGAGGGAGAGAGCAATTGGGGGGATCGTTTTACAAACTATATAGATGTCTAACCAATGTACTGTATACTTGAAACTAATTAAAATAAATAAATTTTTTAAAAAAAGAAGAAAAAGATGCCTAACCAATAACCCAGAAGAGCCTCACTCTAGGAAAAGTAAACAGCATGTACAGAGATTCGGCAAACACTAATAGTTCAAAACTACTGGAGAATTAACAAAATATCAATGAAAGCCTCATTTTCAAAAGACGTAATAAACCAAACTTATGTATGTCTACGAGTTGTATGAAAGGTCAGGGGACAGGGGAGTGAAAAAGATGCCTGAAGAAAGATGTAGTCCTGACTGTTGAATCCTTTTTCATTTAATGAGGAGAACAACATGTTTCCTTTTGGTCCACTTTCTAGAAATCTATGTAGTATCCTGACAATAAATCAGAGTTCTTAAGTCAGCTGCCAATATTCACACATTTTAATTTCACCAAGTCTGAGTTTTATGGGAATACATAAAATTTCACAATTAACATTTATTTTAACATTTACTAAAAGTCATTTTTAAGAAGTCTGAATTTCTATTTATAAAACACTATCCAAGGAGTTAGTTTATTACCCATCTTCACGACACAAAAGCTGTTAACTTTTCATTTATTTTTAAAAGTACTGATTTAAACAGTGTTTGAAATCTACCAATACTTAATAAGTAGATGTTCAATAGGGATGTTTTAATTAAAATTCATTCATCCTTCCATAGTTCACCATGTTTGATAGAATCATCAATCTCTACTAATTTAGAAAATTCAGAAACCACTCTGAACTCTTTTCTCTTAAAATGCAATGCTCAATATCAAACCACCACCAAGTTTACCACCTGTGCTTGAGTTCAACCCAATACCCAGGGTTTTTCTTTTCTATTTTAAAATGCTTGTTAAAACAAAAGAAAAGAGTAAAATTTTTATCAAGTGTCAAAGGAAACTTCAAAAAGGATAAAAAAGAAATCAGAGTAAGATGCTTGGCTAGAATGTCACTGACTCTGCTCAAATTAGATTTGGAATAGTTAGTGTATCTAGAACACAACAAATGGTTTCCAATAAAATGTAAAGGCCAAAAGCAAAGTTTAATACGAGCCTCTCATTTCAATAACTATGACAAAAGAGTTCACCAAGAAAATCATTGTTTTCCTAAAATGAATGAAACCAAAAACTGACAAAAATAACAATGGACCTAAAATACGGCTACTTATTAAAAATTAACACTAATAACTTTTTTATAGGATTTGTAATTACAGATGACGGAAAACTCTGAAATGCAAATGATTATCATGCCCATTTTATAGCTAAGGAATATGTATACATAGAAGTTATGCAACTTGCTCTACTTGCAATCAGTTAGTGATTGAACAAAGACCAGATCACAGGTTTTCCATTAACTCCAAACATCACAATATGGTCAGAAAACAGTACAAGTTATGAAATTATAGACTATTTAAATCTTAATATCTGTGTGACCGTGGGCACATAAATTCCATTTCTTCAACCTTTGTATGGAAAGTCACATAATCTATTTACCAGAATTAAAGTAAGTAAAAGAAATTATATGTAGAGCATTTAGCTTTAAAAAGAAAGCTTCCAATAAGAAGTACTATTACTGTTTTTCTTGTTCATTCTATTAGAGCTAATTTTAAAACATGTCAATTACTTCAGATTTTCAAACCCACAATGCTTTCGGAACCATTTAAACACAAAGATCACCACCCAACAAATTAATACAAGCTATATACAGAGTACCTACTAAGAAATTTATTAATAGAAATCACCCATTCTGTCAACAAATTATCTGCTGAATTCTCTTGCATACCTGGTACTAGAATTCTATCTATTACAAAGAAAATGTATATTAGCTCCCCCCCATCCAATTATCTTACTATAAAAAATAATTGACACAAGATAAACTAGCTGGAATCTTAAGACCTGTGTTATTCTATAATTGTGTGGAATCTAAAAAATAAATATATTCTCTCTTAGTGAGATTGATAAAAAGCAAAGAATTCTTGTTTGTACATATATAAGCATGGTGTTCTGCCTTTAGTTTGACAATGCATATCAAAAGTCTAAATACTCATTTTATTTACTCAAAAGAAATCAATTTCTAGGAATTTATTCCATGGAAGTAATCACAGACTTATGCAAAGGATATTCATCAGTCTTATTTATAACCCTAAAACATTGCTAAGTTAAATATCAAATCATAATGGACTAGTCAAAATAAAGTATGGGATATTCTTTGATGGATTTAAATACAGCTAGAAAATGTTATTAAATAACAAACTGTTAAAACAGGATGTAAAACCACATGGACAGAAAAATCCCAATTTTACAACAAATTAATTAAATAAGGTTAGAGTGATAGATACCAAACGTTAATAATGATTGGTTTCTTCTGACAAAAAGGATTTTTGTTGTTTTCCAATTCAACACAATATTCAGCAAATAAATAGGTGTTATTCTGGTAAGCAAGAAAAAATAGCCATTTAAAATAAAAAGACATACTTGGTTTTGCAGTTAATTATTCTTTCCCAACTCAATTTAAAACCTCTCATTACTATAAAACAGATATAACAGGTTTAAGATTTACATCCAATCCAATAGATGTTATAAATAAGCAGTCTGAAGAACAAGTCCCTCCCCCTCTGGTGGCAAGCCTCTTGTAAGAGAGCCAAAAGTGATCTGAGAATGGTGCTTAGCAATTAACTATAGTATGGCAGAAAGAAAATTTACTGTCGGTATGAATACTCTCTGCACTTGCTAAATATATACCCTTAACTAGACAATTTTTTAAGCAGTCTTCTCATATGTAAATCGTATAATATCATTATTTCAACTGGTTACACTGACCAAGGACCTGATCCATGAAAGGCATTCAGTAAGTTCAGCTAAGTTTGAGCCTGAACTCAGATACAAATAAAGAAAGGGAAGGCACCCATTCAGTACTTCTCTATTCGGACCAATGTTACCTTTTAATTATATATGGTAACTAAAATTATTACATGGGACAAATTTTGTTAACATGTACCTGCTGCTGCCCTTGCTGAGCCTGTGGAGTGGTCTGCTGGTTGGCAGAATTTGTTGCTGCTGCTGCAGCCGCAGCTTGCTGCTGGAAAAGACTGGCAGGGTAGACTCCCCAGGGAGTAACTCCATAATACTGGTGAGGGACCACAGCCGGGCCTAAAAATAGCAAGAGAAGTGTAAGAAAAGTTTAGACTAGTAAAAATCATCTCAGAGTTTCCAAAAACTACATCTAACTCAGCAGATCCTACTGTAAAATATTATGAATATACTAGTTCATTTTAGCTAATCATTAATTCTATTATTTTTTAAAATATAAAACATTATACATGATCCCCACACCAAACTCTTCCGAAGTCAGTAACATACTCCTGCCCTAGAGAAGAAGCTAGTGAAGGATAAAACATGGAAGATATCGAAAGGAAACATAACTAGTAGAAGTAGGACAGGGTCAGTTTAAGAACACATGGAGGAACTGGCCTTGGTCAGGAAGAAGGCAAAGGCTTGCTTTTTCCAAGAAAGGACACAGGAAAGATATAGATAAAATTTGCTGTTAGAAGGGAAATAAATGGGAATGTGTGCTCAGAGTGATGTAAACAGAACCAAAGATTAAGCTGTACCCTGCTCTCAATGTAAGGATGGCACCTGAGGTGATTAACAGGGATGCAGATACTAGCACTTCATTAACTTCAGAAGCATGAAAATCCATCAGTCTTCTGACAACAAAACTCAGAAACTCCACTGAACCTCCACTCCACTGCTCAATTTCTAAGTTGATTGGTTTTCCTATTTGTAAAGTCACAGAAGTCATTCAACACAACTACATTCAGACATTGACATATGAAATTTTAAATGTAAGTCAAAGTTGAAACAAAGAGAAACAAAAAAAAAATGTAACATCTTGACTTATTATAGATCTGCTGAGTATATATCCTAAACAAAACTAGGCTTTCTGCTCTAAACTAAATTATCTGTTCGCCTTCTTTGACAAGGAGCTACAGCTGCAGTCTCTGCCACACAGAGTAGGCAACAGAGAGATAACAGAGCTATACAGACAGCAACCTGGATGTGACAGAAATCTAAACCATAGAATTTTCTGAAGCTGGTGGCTAGAAACATCAAGGCTGCCTACCTCCCAACCAAGACAAAGGCTCAAAGCCAGCTCCTCACATCTGCTAAAACACATCTCCAATTAGAACCCTCCTAATTAAAGCACAAAGTTCAAAATATTTGCAACTTGGTTAATAATAATCCTGCCTTACAATGGAGTTCCAAAGAGCTGTTTCAAATTCAGCTGTTCTGACATTAATCCTATAGAAACATATACTTAAGTCGAAATAAATTGGTATAGTTTTTGTTCCTCCATTTTAAGTTTCTAAAGTACCAAAAAAAAAAATTATATTACTATCTAATGATGCTGACATTTTTAATTTTGTATTTTCTGTACCTGTGGACTTAACCAAAATCAAGAAGCTCTGTTTATAAGGGTGCCCACTGTGAAACACTGCATCTGCTTAGAAAAGGTATGTCACAATTGAGCTATTTTATTGTAATAAGCAAATGGGTTAAATGATTTTTATCAGAACCTAAATAGTCTAGAAACCATGCCTCCAAGTTAAAGAGAGTAGTGGGCCCCCCAAACTCATCTACCTAGTGTTTACAAAGAGGAGTGATCTTGGGCAGTTAAAGAATCAAAGATAAAACATAATGAAGTCCCAGCCTGTGCCTTGGTTTCCTCCCCTGCAAAATGGGTGTAATAGGTGTTAGGGTATTGCCACATCTACCATAAAAGGTTGGGCTGTAACCTATAATGATATTCCCAAGGCTCCCCTCAAAAAGTCAACAAACAAACCTCTCAGTTGGGCACAGACAGCTGTTATGTAAACTTTTAAACTCAGAAAGGTATGTCAAAAGGTATAACATTTCCGGTTCTCTATGAAAGCACTTAAGTCATATTCATTCTGGCTCAGCTAATGAGTAGAAAAAGCCAGATTCTGTTCGCCAAACAATGATCTCAGTGAGGACAAGTGTGTCATATCTTAGACAAGTTTGCTGTTTAAATAATGTTACTGTAAGTTAGTAGAGGAAGAAAGTACAGAAAAGACAATTTAAGATAACATAGATTATTACACAGTATAGTGCACACATGGGTCTGGAGTTAGATCTGGATGAAATCCCAACTGTACAACATTTAAATTGTGTGATCTCAAAAAGACAGCTCTCTGAGCCCCAAACTCTTTAATTTGTAAAATCGTCATGTAACAACTCAAATGAAAGAAAAGCACTCATCGCAATGCCTGGCAAATAATTAATAAAGAAAGGTTCTATAAATATTAACAGTGGTTAGCAAAGATCATTCTGCTAGGAAGAGCTTTCTATTTCTCCCCAAAACACGGGGGGCTGGGGACCGGGGAACGAAACTGCCTATGTTCCCATCAAAAGTCTATGCCAAAATGGACACAATTCTAAAGAAATACAAACTTACATACTGCATTTGAGTTCATAATTGCAAATCACAAGCTATATAAAAAGTGAAATCTCACAGGGATATTTAGTCATGATTAACATGACTTAGAGGGATCTCTCCCCCAAAGAATATTTACTTTGGATTTAGTCTGTCCTAATGTTGAAATCAATCTACCATACATTTATGACCCCACTATGGTGACAGCAACTGTGCCAAAAGTGCCTGCTTTTGAAAGAGTTTAGTCTCAAGGGCAGGAGGAGGAAACTACTCATGTATACATCCACAAGCAATAATAAGTAATAGAGAATGAATAGGGAAGGGTTAACAAAGAAAGGCTTTCTAGAGGTGGCAATAAGTTAAGGATGCTTCCCAGGCAAAGAATGGGGGGAAAATTGACTACAGAAGACTGAGACCATAGTGTCCAAAGACTCAGAGTCCTAGACTAAAGTGATTATCTACGACAAGCTAAAATCAGTTTAATATTACTAGAGTGTATAGTGTGAGCCAATGGTATCCAATTTGGAGGGAAGAAAGTGGCACACCTATAAAGACATCCATAATAAGTCACAGAGAGACCCCCTAAACATAGTGGGTTCCAAACCTCGCTAATCCTCAGAATGCCATGCCAGCGCCTTAAAAAATACTGATTCCAAAGAAGAACAAACCACCACCACCAGCACCACCACTCAAGCAGATTATAATGATCAGCCATGTTTGATAATAACCGCAGTATGCTACATTACGGTGAATAAGACAAAAAGCAATGAAGGATGAAAGAATAATGTCTGTGTTTGAGACAGTTTTCTTGAATTAGGAAGGTAGAAGAGGGAGAAGAAAGAAGCAAGAAAATTAGGACTATGTGAGAAAGTTTAGGCAAAGCTTATAAGGACCCTAACTGTGATAGCCTAGAGATCTGGACAACAGGAGAAATTCCCAAAATATATATGAGCAACTGGTGGCTCTGTAGATCCAAAATACCTATACAGGAGATGGCTGATTAGTTTCTCTTTGGACATGTTCAAGTGTGAGGTTACAACTAAGCCGAGATATCCAACCGGCAGGTAGATGGCACTGGAAATCAGAAGAGTCTCCCAGTGGAGACATGAATTTGTGAGAGAGTATAAAGAACACATGCCCATCTCAAATGACTTTTAGCAGGTGAGAAAATCCCTCGTGTGGCAGAATGTCTCACCTAGTGTTGCTGCTGCAGCCAATCCAGCTGTGTAGGGATCCGTCCCTGGGGGAGCAGCGCTGATGATGTATGGATTGGGGACAAACGCGGCGGGAGCTAAACCTGCTGAAAACATACCTGTCAGTAAAAACAAATTTGACTAAAACTGCAGCCCTACCAAATACCTACACAGTTGGGCTATTCATTCCAGGCTGTTGGTGAGAAAAAAAAGAAAAAAGAAAAAAAAAAAGAGAAGATAGGATAGGTTGAGACTAGAGAGGAATTTTAAAAAGATAAAATCATCCCTATACTAAAGATTATGGTGACATTTATCTTTCATCTTTTTTTTCTACCTCTGCTAAAAAATTATAATTAAAATTGTTATGCAGTTTTAAATTCGGCACAATTTCTAAAAGATTCAAGTTAAAACAGGTTTAACTAGAACAACTTGAAAGACTTTCTAATAGGACGAGGGGTAGATTTTATTTCCATTTAAATCAACTTCCCAGTTTCCCTCAAAGAAAATATATGGGTATTTATTAAAGACAACTATCTACAATTATAAAACACCAGACCTAGGCAAAGGCCTTCACGCCCGGCCTCATAGATCTAGGTGGGAAGCAGGTCTCTTCTTTCACTGCACACCACTATCCATGATTGGAGATCGCCTTTCGTTCAATCACATCATTCTGACACATTAAAAAAAAAAAAGTTCTACTTATACTTGTTTACATTTACAGCACTTTGTTTCAGAGACATTTAAAAGGTTGGGGGAAGGGCAAAAATATACATGTCAAAACTTTAACAATTGCTATAGAAGGGCAAAGCTACTTTAAAACCCAGTAATTACATGGGAATACATTATGAAATTTTTAATATATGTTGCTACTTAATAAGACGAGGAGTTGATATATTTGCAGTCTACAAAACCCCAACATGGACAAAACTACTGTCATTCAATCGATTCAACCAATCTCACTAACAGAGTTGATGCTACTAGTCACTACTGTAAGATTTTTAAATCTTGAAACAGCTCACAGAGAGCAATAATTGTACTGATACTAAGAACCAAGAAATCTTATGAGGTCTAGAAGGTGTGCCAAAAATAAAGAACATAGTTAGAAATAACTGGATGAGAGGAAAAGGCCATTTACTTTAAGGAATTTGTCTGGACTTTTATAATCAGTCTACACCAGCAGTCCCTGACCTTTTTGGCACCAGGGACCAGTCCTCCTATGAGAATCTAAAACCTGATGAACTGAGGTGGAGCTGAGGTGGTGATGCGAGCGCTGGGGAGCATCTGCAAATACAGATGAAGGTTCGGTCGCTCTCCCGCTGCTCACCTCCTGATGTGCGGCCCAGTTACTAAGAGGCCACGGACCGGTAGCAGTTCATGGCTTATGGGTTGGGGACCCCTGGTCTACACTACTGAGTTTCACAGCAGCCAGTATCCTAAAATGGTGGCCAGACTGAAAAGAAGGGAACTCGAAGGCTTAAGGACTTACCAATGTGAGGCTGATGAGCAGCTGCTAGTGCATACTGCTGCTGCTGAGCAGCTGTCAACTGCTGGACAGCAAGCGCATTAGGTCTTTGGAACAGCTGAGGTAAGAAAAAGACACGGTGAGGTTAGAGAAACCGTCTCATGAATAATTTCAAAACCTCTCTGAATAAAAACTTCCATAAACTCTGTTTAGGCATAATACTTTAAACGAAAATGTTCTGATGCTCTTCTCCATTCACAAAGCATCACGATTTTTCACAGTTCTGTTTTTCCTCTCTTTCTTTACCTAATGTGGTATGCCCACTTCCCATGTGCTGCTGACTTTGCAGGTTATATGTTCCTTGAACCATACACTTACACACAAATGCCTTAGTGGTTGTCAACAGGTATGAGGGTCCTGCCTGACCCAAAGCACACTTAAAAATTTAACAAAGGTACCTCAAAATGACTTAGGATGCTGCCCCTAGCGCTGTTATCTCCCTCCAATTCTTTTGACACACCTAGTGATTTAATCCTCACCTACTCGCATTCTGGAAAGGGCAAAGTATTCATTTCTTCCTCAGGCTGCCTCTTCCCAGGGAAATGATATTGATTCCTTCTCCTCAACTAGTGGCTTATCATAATGAGCAGACTAGACAATTGCCCAACCTTTGGGGGCTCCTGAGTTTCCTTAGATACCTATTCTTTTTATGCAGGAAATAAAATGACAGAAGTATAGCTGCTACTAACAAAACTTGAATTACGAGCTCAGACCCAGTATACTTTAGTTTCCAAGAAAGGGAAGGTGTTCAAAGGCCCTGACACTAAGAATATCACAAAGTTCTATGTTAATACAAAGTCAATCACTTACTCATTCATTCTACAAATATTTATGACGCAAATAATACCTGCTAGGCACTGTGCAAGGAGCTAGGGATGTAACAATGAGCAAAATGTGCGCACATTTTAGTATGAATAGTACTGGTGCAAAGAAAGGGGATGCCAGTAACCTGATTTTGCAATACTTTGACACATCTCCTTTCAAGTAGTCACACTAAATACTCCTTTGCTGGCAAAGAGACTAAAAGCACTTACTGAAAGGAACTCCCTAGAAAGGACTTCTACCTACCTGCTCTTTCTACAGCACTTTTCAGCAGCTCAGCTGACATCACTGGATGATATAAAACAGACACCACAGTTCTTGAATTACGCTTGTCCCCATAAAGAGACCTGACTGTTTCAGACATTAGGAAACAATGTCATTCCACCAACTCAGCTTAATTATGATCATGACCGAACTTTTAAAAGGAAGGTTTTACCCTATGATTTGGCCACCTCTATGCCTCAAAGAAATGAGATTGATTTAAAATAAAAAGGAAATAAAGGGTGAATATTGTGAACATACTGGCCAACTTCACCCATTACCTTTCTATGCATTTATCTTTCTAAAAACCAGAGTAAAACCAGTTGTTGCTTTCACAGTATGTCAAAACCATGTATAGACTTCAAAAATACTTTAGAGTATTTTTTTTTTTATTTTCAAAGGTTAAAGAAAAGAAAAATTTCATTATGATGCTGGTAAAAAAGATAGTACTACTTTAAAGGCATTGATTAAACATCAAGTCTTCAAAGAAAATACTGGACTCTGTTGACAAACATATCAAAACTATTGTTCACTTCAGGACGGGAGCCAATCCATACTATGTGGTAACTGTGATCTTGGGATTTTTGCCAAGTTGGTTTCACATTTGTTTTTTTCTAAAGAACAGTCTCATAGTACTCCTAACAATAGAAGACAGCCCACCTAAAAGGGGCAGCCAGGAGGCAGAAAAAAAGTAAAAAAGTGGAAAGTTGATTTTTAAAATTTTTTCCAAGGTTATAAAAATACTTCGTAGTTCCACTAAATACCTACTGTCTCTTCAGTCTCTGGAACTTTCCTAGCCTAAAACATTTTGAAATATTGAAGATATCAGACATTGCTCATGGCTAACCTCTTCCCTCTACCCTGCTATGAACAAAGTAACTCATTGCTTTCCACAAACATTTTTCTGAGCACATTATTAGCGACACTATGACATGGAGATAGGAAAATAAAGATGGGTGTATTCAGAACATAAATATTGAAGTTATCTTGATTAACCAAAAAGAGTACTCTAATGCCATTCCATCTGACCTCTCATTTCATGTTTTTAACATCACTCATTATATGTGTGATGTATCTGTAAATATACATACAAATACACAGTGTGTAAATACCATCAAAGAAGTCGTTCTGCATAACATGAGTTTGTGGTTCTAACCAAGTTATCACACTTTGAAAGTAGGGCCCATCACTTTTAACTAAAAAAATACAGGCCCTCCAAGAATTCCCATCTATCCTGTGTTTGAGAGTTGACTAATATCTCAGTAATTATGGTAAATATGGAATTACTTTTTTTAGTACATTCTGCAGCAAACAATTAACAAAAGTAAATTATGCATCTAGAGCAGGCAGATTTGATTATAGCATAGATTACAATAATTCTGGCAATTCTCTTAATGTAAATGGTCCAATATTAACTGGAAATGAGGGTATTCAAAACAAAATTGGGTAATTGGCAAGTGATGGATTCCAAAGGATCCTGAAAAATGCATACAAATGCCATCTGCTGGGCAAAGCACTGAGCTCTGTAAACATTTTCATGATTTTCACAAAGCAAGCTAATCCTAAGAAACATAATACTGTGCGATTAGGAGAAAATTTTTATTTTAAGGCCAGTATAATAATAAATGTGCCACTACTGATTACAATTTACTTGGGTAGAATTCATAAGTTGTTCAAGAGACTGAATACAGAGGAAAATATAAACAATTTCAAGTGTATCAAGGTTCTTAAAAAGAAATAAAAAAGAAATTTGGGGATTACATAAGCAAGCTGTTTTGACTCCATTCTCTGCCACTATATGACCTTATAGAAGATACCCTGCAGGGTTTTTAATTCCAGAAAAAAATCTGGGCAGTCAAAAACACTCAACATAATGACTAACATTTAGCTGGCATCTTATAAACTATAGTTACTACTATTATTACTGTTGTTATCCATAATAATTGTTAGCATAAAAAAATTGGTGTTGAGTTCAGAATATGAAGGAGTAATATCTAAATATGGAGTTAACAAATGTAAAAGACCACTCCCTCCATACTCCCTCCCCAAAATACAATGTACTGCCAGCCCTGGCTTTTTACCAGTTTAAGACAATATACAGCAGATAGGGAATAAGAACACAAACTCTGGGGCCAAAAAACCTGGATTCTTATCTCAGTTCCACCACTGACTTTCTATGTAACTTTTGGCAAGACGACCTCTCTGTACCTCACTCTCCTCCTCTCTCTAAGAGGGACAATGAGACAATAAAGATAGGTCTAATTCATAAAGTTATTTGTTGTAAGTATTAAAATTAATACATGTAAAACACTTAGAACAGTCCTTTATGTGTGACATTCTTTCTGATGAATGGAAGAGCACCTCTACAGCTCCTCTCCCAACAAGGCAGCCCAGGATGGGGAAAGCACAAGTCAAGACTTTTCAATGTTAAGTCAATGTTAAGTTCAATGCAAGTCAAGGGTCAATGTTAAAGTCCAAATCCCAATGAGTTCATGAGTACCAACTGCTCTCGGCAGGCCACAAAGATAACGAGAAAGGGGGAAAAAAAATTTCTTTGTTTTGTTGATGAGTACTTTTTACAATATCTCCATGCAGAAAAAAAAACTATGAATGCAGTTGAATCTGAAGGTGAGACAACTCCACATATCCAAAGGTTTTATGTTTCTAGTACTAGGTCCAAAGGAAATAGCCTGGAGCTAGAAACCACAACATAGATGTTTGGAAGCTTGCAGAATATGACCTTAAGGAAGTCTCTTAGCTTCATGATGTCTTAACTTTCTTATCTGTAAAAATATAATAGCTGCCCTATCTCGTGGGGCTGTTGTCAGGATTGACAGAGAAAAGCCCTTTGGAGCACTAAAAGTATTTACGCTAACAGTGGGACTATTAATTTTTAATAAAGAAGTATATCGTACGTAGAGCCAATCCTCGGTACATAAACTTGTAAAAATTTGCTATTTAAAGCTTCCAGATCAAAGCCCATTTTTGACCAGGTTATCTGAACAACCTCTTAATCAAATGCTAGCTAACATCAGCATTTTAATGGTGATTAGCTCATGACACTTATAGGACAATCTTCCTTTCATTTAACATTTAACCAGGATAAATGATCAACTAACAAATACAATGATTTCTGGCTTAACAGGTACATACAAACATTGCTGATGAATTTTAAAACTTAGAAAAATTCTTTACATACATTTCTTTAACAGATGAAGACTCTCAATCCAAAATAAATCATTTCTAAATACAGTGGGGAAAAATAAAACATATCTTTCCTCCAAGTAAATTAATATCTTTTGAAGAAAATCATATCATAAAATTTCAACAGTCAAATAACAATAAAGAGGTAAGCTTCAACTGACCGAATGCTAGCTAGTATCAATATTTTAACAGTGATTATTATGCACATGACACTAATAGAACAATCTTCCTTTCATTTGTAAATTGAAAAGCCAAAAATATTAAATATCCACATTAAAACTATGCACACACTTGGCCTCATAAGAAAAATATTTAATCACTACCACACTTTTAAAAACAGTGCATGCCAACTTCCTCTTCCATCTGACTAGAACTGTGAAGGAATAAATATAGTATTTCAATTATGACTTTCAGACTATTTTCTCTTTGTTAAAATTCATGCTTAACAGGTAACAGTTTTAGTACATTAGTATACAATTTTATAAAATATGCTATATTTGGCTATTTTTAGATTCTAAATAAAGAATATCAACAATTAATCTGATTAAACTATACTGACATAATCCTGGCTTTGGTTTCTGCTATGCAGGATTGTAATATAATATAACCTAGTAATAATTTTCTAAAATACACTTAGGGAAATATAATGGTTTCATAATTCTTTATTAAAATGAAGAATATTGCTCAAGCATCATTACACAAAATAGTATAAACACATTACATAAGAACTGCTGACTATGTTTTCCAGGATTAAGGAGAAGACAATGAGGGGAAAGTATGAAGAAAGGGGGAAAATACTCCAGAAACATCAATGAGCATTTCAAACTACCCTTAATTAGGGCTTCTTAACCCCAGGTAGGTCTCTCTACCTGGGATAGGTAAAATTATCTTTACTTTCACAAAATTTAGCATGTCCTTCAATTATGATTACAAGTAACATACCACATTAACATCTGTAACTTAATCACCAAGAAAAATCACAAACATTTTCAGGTTACTTCACGATTGTTAGACATCCCAAAATCTTGTTTATGCTCATTATAATAGCTAGTATACCTACTTTTTCATGCATATGATAAAGCACATTATTAAATTTGTTGTTAAATATTTTATATAATTGGCTTCCTTTGTAATCCCACTTACTCTACACATTTTAAAGCATTCTGGGAATTCAGTCCACAGATGTCACCAAATTGCTAAGGGGTTCATGGCACAGAAAAAAGGAATCTCTGCTCTAGATAAATCTTAGAAAAGTAAAGTTCTTGATTAACAGTGACTAGCCAAGTACAATTAAGTGTGTAACGAACTAAATAAAAAATATTTTCTGTATTTCAGGCTGCTCTATCTATATTATATATCTCAATACAAGCTGATATTAACAGTTTTATAAAACCATCTTATTAAGCCAAATCAAAATCCTGATTAAAAGGATATAGGACATAAGATTGTCAATTTCCAAACCAGATTCCCTCATAAAATCACAAGAAAGCTACCCTATTAATTATAGCAAATACCACCCCCCCCACCCACACACACACACAAAGTTAGCCTTTGATACCTATTTAAGAAAGCCAAGAAAAGAGAACAGGATGTACAGAAAAATATACGCCATAATAGGTATCTGGTTCAATGCTCATAATCATTAACATTGCCTGGGACTCAGGCCCAGCTCCCAAGGCCTTTGTGATCTGGACTCAGTACCCAAACCTATCTCCTTTTCCCATCCTACATGTATCTTCTATTCTTGTCAGCCTATAACCACACCATGGTCATTTCCATCTCCACCCCTCTCTCTTAACTGCAGTAGTATATACCTCCGCCTGTCTTTCAAGCTAGGTCTAGGCAACCCTGGTCCTCATCAAGCCCTCCCCTAATCTAAAAGCATGACTGACCAACTAATTTAGTTACTTAGTTCCTCAACTGTTCCCCAATTGTTTCATGTATGATAGTCTTACTATGAACACTAGCTCTGTTCACTATGTGCAGAACCTAAAGTTCCTGGAAAAACACAATAGTCAACAGTTAACTGATTAACATGGGTAAGAGAATGTCTAAACTAACAGTGCAAAAAATTACACCATAATAATTAAGTCAGTCATTCCTTCTTTAAAATGTTTTGTCACTGCCTATAAAGCAGCACAGCAAAGTAGGTAAGACACACAACACTATCCATGCAACCTCACTGGTTTTCAACCTCAACCACCAACTAGGGTGACTGCTTCTACATTATCTATTGAACAGATATACTTGTTAAGTTTCTAATGTTAGGTATTTAATTTTACTATTTCCTCCGATGAGATTTTTATTCTTTTCCTGGTATAAACAAGTTTGCAAGGTCACAGCTCATGATCACCTCTTCCATAAGTCCTTCCTTCCCCAGAGAACAGAGTATGTTCTCTCTTCTCTACAGTTCCTAGGTCACTGGCATGACTGGCCTTATCTCTTGTCATCAAGTACTTCTTTGCACTATTTAAATGACTAAATGAGTCACAGTAACAAAACAGAGCCATGGGGTAAGGGGAGACTATTCCATTCATGAAGTATGCTTGGCTACAGGTGAGAACAAAAAATGTGAACAGAAGATTAAATCTGCAGTCCACGTATGTGATCTCCCTAAAACTGCCACAAAATTTGGTCTCAAAAAGAATTATGTATATTTTTCTGATGAGAAGACCATAGCTTTTGATCATATGACAACAGAGGGCTGTGGCCCTAAAAAGGTTACATAGTGATCCAGGAGGTAAATTTCCTAGATATAATACAGGTCTAGTTATTTGTGTATGAGGCACAGGCTAGTGGGCTAGATCTAAAGGACTCACATATTAGAATATGCCAGGCCTCAAAAAGTGGCCTCCAGATCTCTCAGAAAGCTAGTTTCAAATGTTAGTTTTGGGAAGCATATTAAATATGGGAGATGTTCTGAGATATTATAATAGGGATATGGAAAAAGTTCCCTACAAACTTGGGTCTGCTAAAGCTAAGCAGAGGACACAGAGGGGACAAGCTCCAGGCCTTATTCTCAAGAAACTTACATCTAGCAAGGGCTATTAGACAAGTAAATCAAAACACAAGGCAGAATATGGTGATTCCTTTTAGGAAAGTACAAAGCACTACAGAATTCAAAGGAGAAGACATGACAACTTTAGGGTTTTTGTTGTTGTTGTTGTTGTTGTTTTTGACATTTTAAACTTTTTATTGAAGCATAATACATATACAGAAAAGTGCACCTACCTTAAATGCACAGCTCTCTGACTTATAAATTGAATACCCCCTGGGGAATCAACACCCATATCAAGAAACAAAACACTTGGAGGGAGGAAAGGAGGAAAGAGACTATAAATAGGACAGCTCAGGTGGTCTTACAATAATCCACCTAGCTGCTGTTCTATGTGGATTTCTCTATCTGTTCTACTTTATAACAGAAAGGGCAAGACTGACATGACAATTTTTTGATTTGGAGATCAAGAAAAGTTAAGAACACTGGACCTTAAAGAATGAGAATAATTTAAATTAGTAGAAATGGAAAGGGGAATAAAACGTGATGAAAAGTAAAGGGTAAGAAAGATTGGAGAGATAAAATGTAAGAATAACAATTTCCAGTAGAAAAAGGATCTTCCCTTCTTAACTACTACTGGCTTCTATGTAGGAACCTTTGAGAGGTTAAGGGTCTTGAAGATACTTAGAAGTCTTGAGCCACTGGTTCCCAGGCATGTTATTATTAGGGTGTCCAGTACAAGAATGTGTAAAACAATCAACTCAGAAAAGCAAAGATTATGGGCCCATGGGATAAAACAACAATTAATCACATCATATGATGATGGTGTCTCTGTGTAACAATGCCCCTATGTTACAGCAACCACTACGTTTATGTGAAGCCAGAACCTAAAAACAATTACAAAATTATAATGTTCCTTTTCAAAATTTGCTGAAATGGGATTCACGGTGAAGGCACCTCAGGTTTTTAAATGTGAGTGGGTGTTGTGTTTTATTAATCGTGTTAACTACCTGTGGGTGTACAAAAGTATATCCATCGTTCAAGTTCTAATACTTATCCAGCCTCCCAAAAAACTGGTAGAACTATTTTGAAACCAGAGATGAGTAAATCAAGAGAATTTCAACTCTGATTATGAAGTAAAGAACAACTAAATGAAAGTGAATCAGATTTTCATTCATTAAGAGGTTGGAGACAAACATTTCTTAAATAACGAGCAAAGGGTTAAATTGGGAATGGAAGCCTAAGAACGAGAAATGGCCACAATTCTAAGGGTTGTTAGGGAACTCAGACCAAAAAGACAGAGTAAAATAAAGAATTTAGACAAACTTTTTGATATAACTAGGTTAAAGGATCCTGATTAGGAACAGTCTACACTCACAAACCTCAATTTAGACAGAGAAATTGCCACATTGAGATTCTAAGCTGGACAAGTTGAAATTTACACAGTAATATCATGTCCCTATATTTGTTGGTGTGGAACAAAATATTTTGTTCAGCACCTAAAGTAATTTCTGGCTTCACTCAAAACTGCTGTTTGAGGATTCATTGTGAAAAATGGCAAAACCATGAAAGACGACTATTTCTTATAAAGAAAAAGCACAGAAAGTCAATTTTCATAAAGAGGTGGGCACACCTACTGGGAACTACAGGGAGAACTGTACACTGTATCAGTATGCTCTCTCTGGATAGTTTATAATTAAACCTAATATATCCATCTTATATGAGCGTAGAGCATATGCACATCACAAAATCCCTTTTAAGAAATTTCTTTTTGTAAACTTCATATGGTTAACTTTATTATCCAGTTGTCTATTAATCAAAATTTATTTAAAATCAGCTATTTATGACAACTAAAGGAACATTATGGTACAATGGATCTCCAAAAGACCATAAGTCAATTTCCCCCATAGTTAAAGGATTTCTAAACTTCAAAATGAGATGTTAACCTTTCAAACCTAGAAGTTTACATTTACATTCCAGTCCAAAATTAAGGTGTATCAGAAATCCATGGCCCATCAAACTGCTCCAGCCACAAGGGAGAGCCTGTGGTACTACTTATCAAGATCAGGAAGCTACCTGCCCCCTTTTTATAATACAGACAGCTGGTTTTCCTTTTTTAAAAAAGAAAAGGATCAGTAAACCCTAGAGTGAGCCATACCATGCCTTCAAAACCAGAAGGCATAGATGCAGTAATTTCTATGGGTTATGAATAAAAGAGCCAAATAATTTCACTGTAGATTTTGTTGAGTGATTTGTGTGTATTTTTCCCCTAATGACATTCTCTTTTAAAAGGCACTAACTCATTTAATTTTAATACTTTAAAAAATAAAACAAATCGATAGCATCACAGTCACATTAATCTTCAGAAAGATTAATTTAGCATCCAAGAGGATTGTGTTACAAGAGGTGACACCACCTCACCCACTCTCCAGGCCCTGGAGAGAGAGAGAAGCCAAAGGAAGTTAGTTGTAGAAGAAGGTGGTCTCTTGCTGATAACCTCAATATGAGAATCAGCTTCTTGAGGGAGAAGACACAGAGACTTTGTAAACCCACGTAACTGCTGGGTTAAGAAGGGCTGGCTATCGATAGCCTAAAATAATGCCACCCTCCTCCCATTCCCCCCATTCTTAGTTCCTTGAATAATGGGCTGGCTGGAGGGAGAATAGAGAAAGTGACAGAGACACACACAGTACCTGTTGTTGAGAATTGTAGTCAAAAAGTCCCACAGTTGCTGCTGCTGAGTCCACAGGTACCTGCGTGCCTGAATAATCAAACTGAAGAGGCTCCATGCCCACATGTTCCATGGGGTCCAAAGGGACACTCTGGGACTCCATGTTGGAGAAATCCTCCACAGGCTTGGCACCATTGGTGCTGGTCAGCTGGGCTAAGCCCTCAGAACCATTCTGGTTTGGACCCAGAAGATCCACTTCATTAGCAGAGTTCTGGCAATTACCAGGGGTACGGCTAAACAGAGAAAGTAAAGGGCATTAAACCTTATTTTGAGCGGGGAGGGACACTACAGCCACCCAAGTTTAAGGACAACGTCCATGATACAGCTTATTATCAACAGCACTTAAAACTACTTCTACAAAACAACCAGAGACCCTTTAGGGTGCTTCCATGTAATATCCTCTAAAATGACTCTTCTATTGCTTGCCTTCCCACCACAACCCATCCCTTAAATTCACATTTACTGCTATTAATTTACAATCCCTTTAAACAAGGGGCTCAGATTTGAGGAACATTGGATGAACTAGAAAAAACACTGCCTGTGGCATCCATGAAAACAGAGATCCCAAAATGCAGATAGTAAAATATGTCCCCCTAAAGCAACTTCTTCTACTCTTTAAACATAGAAACAATGGAAAATAGTTTCTAAGGGGGAAGTTCTACATCTGAGAATGACTCTATTTTTTAAAATTACACTTTTTATAGAAGTGAAAATTTTTTTCTGTATTATCTAGGTATACTGGCCAATGCTAAAACTGTCTTTTTTCCCCCTTCTAAGAAACTAGAAGCAGACCATTACAAAACAAATTTATTATTCAGCATATGCCCCTGCAGAGGAGACAACTCCAAGAATTAATGTGAGGATATAATTTACCATCCAAACCAGGACACTGCTACTAGCAAAAAGGGGCACTATTAATAAATATCCTAGGACATAGGCATAAACAAGGATTGTCCTGGGGAACCCAGGACATGTGATCACCACCCTATGTAAAAGGATTGCAGGACTTTATGATTCCAAATTAGACTAATATAGAATAATATTATAATCTAGTCAGAGAAGAATAGCCTATATTATATACATTTCATCTCTAAAAGAAATCCTACAGCTGGTACAAATTAAAGCTATAGTCGTGTTCCTTAATACACAGGCCCTACCATCACCATCACCAGCCCTGCTGTCAAATACCACAAAACGCTGCTAACAGGCTGCTTGAGATTCAGAATGGAGAGGCTACCCAAACTCACTGAAAGAACTCAGGTAAGTGTTTATACCTCTGTGCCTCAAATTTCTTCGAGAGACTATAATTATTTACACTCACAAGATACAAAAATTCAATTAGAAATACAAAATGAACATTGTTCTATAAACAATGATCCAAAATGTATATTTAATATTGGCTTTGGTAAATATTAGATGTGTGTGCGTGTGTGTTTAGACACACACATATTAGTTTTAGACTAACATTAATTAAAATTATTCAAAATTAAATTCTCTATCTGTACACCACTGACCAAAGTTTTTAGATTTTTAAAATTATATACCATCACTAAAAGTTATCTACATTAATGAAGAATACTTGCCAAACGTGGAAGACAAATATAAAATATCGCTTTAATATTCTGTATGTTAGATTATAAGGTACAACCTGCAAATCAATCATGACCAGAGAAAGAATGAAAGGCATCCGTGGAAGGAACGTAATTAAGTCATTTAAGTTCTATCTCTGGTTTTTCAAAATGAGGAAAATAATATCTGACCGACCTTCTTCAGAGGTAGCTTATGAGTCTCAAATGAAATAAGTTCTCAACTGGTTTTCCCTCTAACACACCAGAGAGATATGACAAATTTCCATTAGTAACTATAGTTTATCCCAAGATAGTGATTTGGGACAAATTTGGGAAAAGTCCATTCTGGATGATTTTTGATATCTGAGAATCATGAAATGCTCTTTATGGAATCAATCAGCAAATTATAGAGCCCTATACAAATGCAAAATCTATTGTTTTGGCAAAGCACCAGGCATTGACAGCTCTTAGAAAATTCCGCCTTCTTAGTTAATTTCCAGTCTTTGTGGTATGGCCTACGACTAGACCCGATTCTTAAAAAGGACACATAAGGAAGGAAAAAGAAAACCAAAATCAAAATAAAACTAAAGCAAAACAAAAACCCATAACCCCATTCAAAAATCGAAGTGTAAAACATACAAACCTAAAATCTTTGACGTCTGCGTCAATCCCATTCTGCACTGGTAAACCATTGGTCTTGTCCATCACATCACCCTCCTCCTTCAAATCTCCTAGCTTATCTCCATCAAAGGTACCCTTGTTCTTCTTTTCACCTTTGTCGTTTTCATCACTGTCTGCATCCCTTGGGCCCTGTTTAAAAAATAGCTTCAGCTTCACTAATCATCATCAACTAATAATAGTGGGCAACCACTGTGTTCACCAGACTACACTAGATGCTAATTAGAACAGGATAGTATCTGGCCTTTCGAGACATTACAATCTAATTAACAGACAACACAGAGGCAGGAACACTGCAGAAAGTCTTGCCAAATGGGGGAGACAGACATACATTTATGTTACAGAATTTAGGACAGTTTTACCATGCCCAATAGCCCACCAAACCCATTCTTTTTCTTTCTAACCCAAAGCCTGGCCACAACTTCATATCTCATAGTCTCACTTCTCTACTCTCAATTTTAACTCCATATAACTAACTACACGACTCCTAATAAACCCCAGGTATGGCAGCTAACAGTATAGTTGGAAAAGTGTTACGTCTACCAAAAAAAAAGAAAAGGGGAAAAAAAAAGAAACCTCTTGCTTCACCAATGCCTATGTAAATTCCTCCTCACTTCCAAATATTGACAAGCTAAGTGTGGTCTGACATCATCTAATTCAATTATTCTACATTTTATCTTGAAATACACGCCCTGCCAATTTGCACTACCACTACCACCCAGTTCCACCCTATGTTTCATAGCTTATTGCATCACTAATTCAACAATCATCCTTAACTAATTTTTTAACTGTTCAAAACATGTTAAATCTAGCTGTGAAATTCTTTCACCAAGAAGTGTTTACCTGTTGTCTTCCACTATCTGCCTGTCCCATACCAGATTCTTTTGAGACTACATGGAAGATTGTTAGGCTGAAATTACTGATGCAAGAGATTTTATCTCTGAAGTGTTTCAAACTATGTACATTGAAAGAATGAACCTAAAAAGAATGGATGTGGTGCCAAGCACGTTGATATCCTATCTTCAAAGGAAATTCAATCTAACTCTTCTTACCAACAACGCTAAGACCTGGACAAATAAAGCAAAGGTGCCTTGACTTCCAAAAAGAAAAAGAAGAAGTGGTATAGTGACTTGAAATGGTACAGAGAACTTGGTAAAACCTTACCAGATGTTAAGAACCTTTGCTTTTGTAAAAGCAGAGAGAGGGAACCTTGCTTGTCCCCACCACTGATATCTGGTTTAAGGAAGAAACAAACACACTCAGACCAAATTAAAACTTCTGCTAAAACACAAGATCCAATCAGAAGATGAGAGCTGCTGCACAGCATTTCTAGTCACAATCACATTTCAGTGGGGGCAAATCAATGCGAGAGGCTGGAGCAGCAGACACTTAGTTGTGAATGGGTAGGCCTACAAATGTAAAATAAGCGGATGGTCTCAGAGTGCTTTTTAAAGATCCCTGGCCCAGAAAGGGGTACTCGTGTACCTTGACGCTATTCGATCTTTAACTACCAATTCAGAGCCCATTTTACTTTCAAAATCATTCTCTGTTCAAATGTAACACAGGAAAAAGATTTCATGGTTAATATGAACAAAGGAACATGTACAAGAAGGAACTCAGAAAGGATAAACAACTTAGTTATATGTGGCAACAAGATGATAAGTTATAGTTTTGGCAGTCACTGAGATGTGACTTTCAGAGTAGAATATTTAAAGTATAAGACTGTGGTTCAAAAAGAGTGACAGCCAATTAAGCACTACATTGAGATCCCAATGCAGAAATGAAAATATGACAGGATTCTGAAGACAGAAAGACCTTTCTAAATGTCCAGAAACAACAGCTCCCTCCTACTGCAAAGGTAAACTGACAGAAGCTGTGTGTTCATTTTCATATCCTCAGCACTAAACACAGTGCCTGACAAAGTAAACTGGATGACAAAAAAATCCTGCCAAACTGAACTGCTAAAATAATAAGGATCCTCTCATTGTCTTTATCATCAGATAAGAGTCACAGGGGAGATATGGTTTAGATAACAAACAACTCTTCATGAATTAGACATCATCAGTGTCAATAATAAAAGAGTTTTAGAAGAATCACCCCACTAACACACCTAAGTCACTTCCCACAAATCTATAAATCAAGTCACTGGCTCAGGAAGAACAGTTCAGCTCCAATTTCTCACAGAGTTTAGAAGGTTTACAGGCAAAAATAGGAAGAAAATAGAATTAAAAAGCAGTAGGAAGTTTCACCAACAAGCAAGAAATCTAGTAGACAAGGCGACAGCTCTGTGTTATCTTTCCTCAGTGACCCTTCCCAAGGACTTTTTGAGAAGCTGCTCAGCCTGTCTGGAAGCCAACCACTCCGGCCTGGAAACTTGGCCACTGATACTTACATTTTCAATTATACTGCCAAGGGCTAGATTTTCAAAGGCAATATTATATAGTCCATTCAAATAAAATATACCTACCTAGTTTTCTACTCTAAATAGGCTATTAATGCCTCAGTAGAATAGTAGGTTCTTCCTATTTGAAGGTGAAGGCCCCAAGGGAGGCTTCCATTTCTTGATGTGGATGGTTACATGGGTGTATTCATTTTGTGGAAATTCATAAAGGTGAACTTTTATGACCTGTACACTTTTCTGTACACAGGTCCTATTTCAATAATAAGTTTACTTAAGAGAAAAAAGTTCAGTAAATCAACAGCCCTAAAATGGCTGACATGAAGTCTGATTTCTGAATGATACCAAGAGTCAAAAATTTGTTATTAAAAGAGAATGCAGGGTTCAGGATCATAAAACTGGTCTCTCAGATATGTGAAGGCCCTACAGAGAGAATATGGGTATAAATGGGCTGGTACATTTTATGAGATTAAAAAAAAAATTTTTTTTTTTAAATATTTAAGATAAGGTAGCCATAGCTACATGATCTTTAAGAAAATGCTAACTCAGATTACACAGAACCTATATTCTATCTCAACTGCTGACATTTACTGGTCATAGGACTTTGGACAGGTTATTAAACCTGAGCCTTTTAGTTCTCTCATCCATAAACAAAGATAATTTTCTTTAAAACATAACTTTGCTGCAAACGTCAATGAAATAACGCACATGCAAAAATTTGTAAAGTATAAATCATTTTATACAAAGGTAATATTAGTAAAAGCTATACACTGGGATGGTATTTCTTATGTAACATTATCCAATAAATCAAGATTAAAAAGCTTAAATGTCCCAATTAAGTGGTTTAACTCTAATACAAGTGTCTAGGCAATCTGGCCCTAACAGGCACACTACTTTTTCCACAATGCAATGGCTCTATGATTGGTGTTGGGCATCACAATCTTTTTAAAATTTACAAGTGTCTGGGCTCGCTCCCAGAGATTCTGATTTAATTGGTCTGTAGAGGCTCCCACAAATGTTATAAACAGTTCTCCAGTAAGCACCTGCACTTACAATTGAGAACTGCTGTAATTAAGTCCAACATAAGCATCATAATGGTAAAGTTTATGTTTTGCTTGTCATATATTACCTAGTACATAATAGTATGAAAGTCTATTAGCTAAACAAAAGAAAAAAACAAAGGACTAATAGCATCTTTTTGTGGGCTTCCTTTACATGAATGTTAACCCAAACCTACAGTTCTCAAATACAGGCTTCAGTGAGTGCTCAAAATGCAAGTGGCCAAGTCCAATCGAAATTTCAAGAGTGGGGCCAGGAAGGGCTCTGAGAGACCCCAGATCTACACAGAGGCAGAGGAATATGTTTCACTGCTAAATATCAAAGAACTGAGAGAAGAGCAGAAGAGAGATAAAAGAAACACATATTGTGGAAATCATAGTCCATTCATTTATGGCTCGGCATCCTCAAAGCCTCACAAAACAGGAGGAATATTTCAGAGAATATCTACTAATTCTGAGTGAAGCCAGAGAAATGAGAATTTGATTTCTCCTCTTATTGCAGGGATCTGACCACAAAGCTCCACATGGCAGGAGTTAACATTCAATTCAATGAAATTAGTAATTTTTCTCTCTTCTAAAAGAAAATAGTTTACGTGTTTGATATACTTGAGTCCAGAAACTATAACATGAACTAAAAGCATGGTTTCTCCTATATACACTTATCTGTTTTTTACAAAATGCCCAAAACCTAAAACGTCAATTTCCTTTAAAGTTCAGCAGTTTATAGCTCCACTGGTAAAAAAAAATAATAATAATTTTTTAAAAAAAATGAGTAACTAGCCATGTGATTTACTCTTTTAAACTGACATTAAATATTAGTAAGGCCTTCAACTAATAAACAAGCCAATATAGCATAATAGAAAGCAATATAGTTAAGAACTAAAATTAGTCAAAGTTTGGATCCAGGTCCCATCAATTCCCTTCTAAGTCTTATTTTTCTCATCTACAAATTCATTGGGACAATAGTATCTGTTTCAAAAATTAAATAAGGCAATTCATAAAGTACAATTCTTCACAAAAAAAATTCTTAGCAGTTTTCACATATTCCCCGCTGCTTTTTTTCAGACACACCAACCCTCACCCCTAGACCCCCAAAGCTTCAAAATTGCTGGTCATCTTATGTTTTTCCCCCAAAAAACTCTTATGGCTCTAAACATTAGACCCTTTGTCTCACCAATTTTTCTGAGATATGAGTACAGAATCAAGCCACCACCAACTACATTTCATCAAATCTGAGACACCATTGATTTATAAGACATACCATCATTTTATGTGCTGCTAAGAAGGAAACAGTGGCAATTAAACTATGACATATTATCATTTGAAAGATGCATCCCAATTTCAAAATGAACAAAGTAAGGGCTATGCGCTTTAGAAAGAGTGAACACAAAATGTACCAGGCACTGCATATATGATCACCTAATTCCTGGTGTGCAGAAAGGTAAGAGTATTGCTTGCCCTCTGCTGTGGTAACCATCAGATCCAGGAGGAAAAAGAATATATATTTTAAATGTGTAGAATGGTATTTGTTGTTCTTACAGAAATGAAAACAAACCAAAAAAAAAAGGTTTTCTATAAGTTTTTTTTTTTTTTCCCTCTAGTCAATATATAAAAAGCTTGACTCTGCAAAGTAGAGCATGTAGATTTCTTGCTCAAAGAAAGCTCAAATCTGAAGGGGCTCCACCCTATCAATAAAATTTTCTGAATTTGATCCACAGCTTCCTGGTAATTTACACTTCCAAGAAAATTGTCTTCTAACAGTATTTATCAGACATTAATGTACATACGAATCGCCTGAGGGTCTAAAATGTAGATTTTGATTCAATAGGTCTGGGGTAAAGGCTGAGATTCTGCATTTCTAATTAGTTCCCAGGTGATATTAATGCTGTTGGCCTATGGACTTTGTGGAGCAAGGTCTTACAGTGTTTACAAAGCACTTTCATATATATTACACAACCATATGTATTAGATTTGGGGTTTTTTTTATTATCCCCATTTTGCAGATGAGACTTAAACACCTGGCTTCCACCTGTATTATACTGCACCAAGTTTTCAAACAAAATCAAGTAGCACTGGTTACAATAAAACAAATGCAGTGAAGACTAGAAAAGCAAGTCATTAAGTTTTACAACCCAAATGAATTGCTATGAGTTTGCATGCAGCCTCCAGGTCAGAAGGCAGTCTATACAGACAAGTAGTAGGCCTTCCTAATACGTTTTTTCTAAAAATCTTTCTTCCAAGGTTAGGGTGGTCTTCACCATAATCAAAGTTTAGTGCAGTTTTCTCATTTCCTTAGACACCATAAACCGGAAAGACAGAAATTATGATCCACTTGTCTGACTGGCTAGGCTTCAATCTATTTGAAGATCAGCCGATATTTCAAAAAACATTCAACAGGGTCTTTAGATAGGCAATTTCACCCAGTGGCCTAAAAATACAGTAGTTATATGTGATTTTCTAAGCATTCTGAGCTTTTTTTT